GCCGGTGGAGCAATTATGCCAATTAGCCCACCTTATAAGCCTGTGCATGGGACATTTGAATTACCCTATAGCCTCTGGTCTCATTAGAACTTCCCGCTGTTGCTAAGTTACCTGCTGACGTGTCAGAACTCAACTCCCTCCATAATACCCTGTATATTTGCTATTCCTTCTTTGAATAAATGAGACTTGATCAGACCACTGTCTTGTCTCCATTCTTCACATCTCTTCTCTCTCCCAAATCTCCACTCCCCCTCTAGGGTCTCCATTGACTTACCCAGGGTTGGGACATAGTGAAAAGAAAAACAAAAAATTGGGAAAAAATTCTTACTCAACTCTCCCTCAGACAAAGGACTTCTACCCAAAATATAAAAAGAATTTAAAATATCAGACCCTAAAATTCAAAGATCTAATAAAAAATGGGCATAAGAGATGAATACACATTTTTAAGCTGAAGAAATACAAATGGCAAATAAATACATTTAAAAACATTCAACATCATTGGTCATTAGAAAAATGTAAATTCAAACCACACTGAGATTCCATCTGACTCCAGAAAGAGTGGCCAAGATCAAGAAAACCACCAATAACAATTGCTGGAGAGGCTGTGAGGAAAATATAACTGTTCTGCACTGTTGGTGAGAGTGTAGTCTTGGTTAATCACTGTGGAAGTCAGGCTCAAGGTTCCACAGAAAGCTGGGATTGGGAGTCCCATTTGACCCAGCTATTCCACTGCTGGATATATTCCCAGAAGATTTGAAAATATCATACCACAGTGATATATGAGCACTCAAGTTTGTTGCAGCACAATTTGTAATACCCAGATCTTGGAAACAAGCTAGATTCCCATCAACTAAGGGATGGATTAAAAAGATGTGGTATTTTTATACATTGGAGTACTACTCAGCTATAAAGGATCACAGTGAGGCTTTTATAGGTAAATGGGTGTGACTTTAGACCATATTCGTAACTGAAATAAAAAAGACACATGTGTAAATGCAGTATTGTCTCCCTAGTGTAAGAAACTGAAAGAGAAAATAAAATTCAAAATCTTCAATCAATACTTGGAAAGGGTAAAAAACTACTCAAAGGGGAAGACGTAATTTAGGGAAAAGGAGAAAAGTAAGAAAGGAAAAGAAAAAAAATATACAAACTTATAGGTACACATTTAAGAAAGCTAAGATGATTGTACTACTAATTCTATTAGTTCTTAGGACAAAACAGTTAACATCCAAAGGATTGGATCTATTTTGTATGTTTATACCTGGTAATCTAAGTTCTACTTTTGAAGATAAGTATGCAAAAGAACAACCTTAGTTATGTTCCTTCCACCTTGTTTTGGGGGCCTGTATTGTCATTGTTTTGGGCTTTTGTTGTTGTTATTTATCTCTTATTTCTTGTTTTTCTTGTAATCTGTTTTGTTTTTGTTTTTTTTTTTTTCTCTAAAATAGAAAGGACAAGGCATATATATATAGGCTTATACATGCCTAGAACTTTTCTTAAAGAGTTTACAAGAATTCATTTAATGACATGTGATTGTATGAACAGCTACTTTGAACAAAATGAGACATTATTGTAGCCACTGCTGATTTCCTGTGACCTTACTGTGAAGTCCAATAATGCTGTTATTTTTGTTTTGATTTTAGTCTGTTTTGCATTATTTAATTTCAACATGTGTGAAGGTATGTGCAGCTATTTTGAAGAGAATAAGGGACATTATCAGAGCCATTCTTGATTTTCCTATTGTATGGTTTTGAAGGCCTATAATACTTTCATTCTTTTGTTTTGATTGTTTTATACTATTTTGCTTGTTTGAATTCACTGTATGAGAAAATATGAACAACTATTTCAAAGAAAACAGAGACATTATGGTAGCCTCCGATGATTTCCTGTTTTGTTTTGAAATCCATTGTTGCTTGCATTGTTTTATTCTGATCTGCTTTATTCTGTTTTGTTCTAATCTCTATAAAATAAAAAAAATAAAAATATCTTAAGGCAGTTTCTAGGATGTCCCTTTAAAAGACTACTACTTCTGGAGCGATGCATGCTGGCAAAAGACTGTAATTTCAATATACTGGTAGTCTGAGGCAGAGGAGCTGCAATTTGCAAGACTAGTTTTAGCAACTCAGCTCCTTAGTGAGACACTGTCTCAAAAAAAAAAAAGGAAAAAAATGAAAAGGAAAGGAAAGTAAAAGCTGCCAATTGATATCAGTGTAAAGTCCTTGGTTCAAACTGTTTACTGAAAAATGACTGGTGGTACTCCCCACCCTACTACCATTTTTGGTATTGGGGACTGAGCCCAGGGTATTTGCATATGAGGCAATGCTCTACTATTGAAATACACCACTTGACCTTTTAAAAATTATTTTGAGATAAGGTTTCATTAAGCTACCTAGGCTAACCTGGAATTTGCAGTCCTCTTACATCAGTCTCCCAAATATCTGAGTTTGCAGGATGAACATTTTCTGACCCTTTTTTCTTCTCTCTTTTGTACTTGTTTATCCATATATGTCATTATTTTTAATCCTGAAGCAAGAGACCACAAAACAAGGATGCTACAATAATTTATTGAAAGCACCATAATCTCTGAGAACTTTATAGAGCACAACTGCTACACTATCTGTAGACTGCATACCACTAGATTTACGTGTAGAATTGAAATATGTTGAAGGATGCAAGTAGAAACCACACTCGTAAGTGATTTATTCTAAATCAGACTTGCAAGTGTAAGCACCCTATTGTCTCACTAGTGTAAGAAACTGAAAAAGTAAAAAGATCAAAAAGTTACAATAGATATAGTAAAAGGGAAAGAAATTTTTCAAAAGGAAATTAAATTGTTTGATCAATGTTCTGTGCCTGTATCTGGTAAACAGAGTAACTATTTTATGGATAACAATAATGCAATATAACAAGCATTGTTAAATATAATCTTGTTTTGAAATCTTATATCACTATTGGTTTTTTGTTGTTATTTTGCTCTTGTTGCTGTTTGTTTGCTTCTTGATTTTTCTGTTTAAAATAAAAGAATTGGAACATGTTTCTTAAATAGCTATTACTTGGAGTCTCAAACTTATAGCTAAAAATTAATTCTGAATAATATAGCGCATTACTCGTAGATGGAAGTAAATATGAAAGGAATCATGGAAAAGGAGAATGTTTGATTTGGACTAATGAGAACAATAGGATGAGAGTGAGAAATATTTGTTTTGTAGTAAGTTCTAAAGATATTGACTCCATAAGTATGAGCACAAATAATTTTGATTTTAAATATAAAAATTACAATGACAACAAAACACATGGTCTACGTTTTTATATTTTTGGCTTTTGTTCCTGATACTATTATTCTACTCTACTTTCTCTTGAGTTGTTTGCATTTTGAGGTTTTTTTCCATGTGTAGATTTTAATTTCCTTTAAAATAGGAAGTATCCAACATAATTCACTCTTCATGTTAGTGTAAAGTAAAATATCACAGCGTATTCTCTAAATAACATATTGAAGTTAATTTCTCATCTCGATTTTATTTCAATAAAAAGGCTCTGAATAGGACATTAAAATTTAGAATATTTTTACTTGAGAAATCTATGCCTCATAACATTTCTATATTGCTTTATCTACTTAAGTGTAAGAGAAAATACTTTATTTCTTTAGAAAAATGTTATACTTAGAAACTTGTTTTTTAATATATTTCCTTTTTGATTTTTTAGATGATCCTCCATTTTCTGCTAAAATGAAACCTTACTTAATCACAAGAACCAATTGTTAACTTTGCATTGAATGAGATGGGAAATCAGTGGTAGTGATAATACTTACATCAGACAAATCATCAAGTGGATAGTAAAATTCAAAATTAATTCTTTAAAAACTTATTGCTAATTATGTACTAGAATCACCACTATGTAAATCTTATGAAAATGTCTTTCAAATGCGACATCGAATATTGATACAAAACTGATAACTATAATTTTTAATCTGTCGTGCATTACATGAATATATGACAGGCATTTCAGATCAATTCCTAATTTTTAAGCACGGTTATTAAATATATTTCAAGTATTTTATAATGGAATCATTTATTGTATAAGTGTAAGATACTTTCAATATCCTCACAATAATTACAACTATTTCAATAACACTTTGATCTTGTCTCAAAGAAATATTATTTATTAGCAGCTCCTGGCTCTTTCATACTCCCAAACCCCGGGAACCATTAATCTAATTTCTGTCTCTATAGAGTGACTTTTGCATATATTTAATATACATGAATAATACACTATGTAGTAATTTGTGATTAAGTTCATAATTCCATATTTTCAAAGCTTATCCATTTAATACCATGTTGGATATTTCATTCGTTTACCTGGATCCATAATATTCTATTATCTGCATATATCTCATGTTTTTGATCCATTTACTTAATAGACATTTGAGTTGTTCCTACTTTGGTGCTGCAATAATGAATGCTACTAAAAATATCAGAATGTGATTTTTTTGGCTGATTACAAGCTTTTCATTCTTATAAGTATTTGCCCAGAAGTGGAACAGAGTTATAGTTCTGTGTTAAACTTTTGAAAAGGTTTTTTCAAACTAACTCAAATATTTTACATTCTTATGAGCAGTGTGCAAAGGTTCTTATTTTATGTAACTTGTCCAGTACCTTTTTATTTTCTGTCTTTTTTGGTAAAGCCATTATGGTGGGTGTTAACTAATATCTCGTGTTGGTTATGATTTCCATATGACTAATGATGTTCAACATATTTTAATTTTTATACTAGTCATTTGTCTTTAAGGTGCAACACTTAACTTTTTATTATTGAATTGCAAATATTCTTTATATACTCTGGATAAAAGTTCCATATTTAGTAAATAACTTGCAAACAGTATCTCTCTTTATATGGGTTATCTTTGTGCTACTGACATTGTTTATAGGACCTCAAAGGGTTTTTAAAATTTTCACTTATACCATGTACCAAATGTGGCATGAAAAGTATTGAAAATGCCTTACCCGAACTATTTCACAGTCAACGTTTAATTCAGTAGCAACAGCTTCAATCTTCTCTCTGCAAACTGAGCCAAGACTGGTCATGCCATTGTCCCAGAATTTCTTAAGCATAGCTAAGTCTTGATCACTAAACTGAGTGCGGTCCTGTAGCTGAAAAATAAATATTTTTAAAGTTAGAATGATCAATGGAAACTATGTTCTAGACAGGATCGTCAAGCTGAATTGCATTAACTATTTTAAATACAGAGTGTTTTTCAAAATTCTTACTCTGAGCTCCTCATTCTGAAAATAAGCATTTTCATTGTTTTGTTTCTATATCATAACACAAAGTGCTAGAAGGAAATGAGAATTCTTTTTAACTGAGAACAACTTCTAAATATCAATTTTAAAGAAATGCAATAAATAAAAACATAATTTAAATAACTCACAACATGCAAAAATACTTAACATTTTAGTTGGATATTTTTTTCAATTTTTGCTATAATAAACATTTTTCACATTCAAATACAATACACAACCAAAACACAAAAACACAATGATACTGATGTGCTGCATTTTAATTAATCTATATTATTTAAACCCAGAAAATAGTCTTCTAATGATGTTGCAATTAATTTAAAATGTGAACAACAGAAAAGGAAAATGGTAATATAATGATAAAATTATATTTATGGCTTCAAAAGCTTTATGGTAAACCTAAATTTTGCTTTTCTGTTTATTTTAAAACAATACTTTATACAGTGTTTATTGTATAATGGTTGCTGGAGATCTTCCTAGAAAGTAAATTAAAGCATTCATTTTGCTGCCAAAGCTTTAGGTAAAGGAAGGCTCAAAGATTCAGTCAATAGTGCACAAAAAGTCCATTGCAGAGCTACAAGTCAAAATAGCTCTGATTTTTGTCTAGAGGCTAAATTTTTGTGATTTCTTCAATAATGTCAAGGAGTGGTGGAAAAACTAAAAAAAAATGGTTTAATAACAATGTATATGCTACAAACCCTGTGAGAACACATACATGTTTTTGAAATGAAAGGATATTGATAGGAGACAGAGATAGGAGATAAAGACAGAAAAGAGTATAAGATGAAAGAGAGAGTGAGAGGGTCATTAAGAGAGGAAGTGAAGAGGGAGGGAGCAGAGAGGGAGAGGGGCAGAGAGAGAGAGAGAGTGACTGCCAAGTGTAAGTTAATGACCAATGTTGCAAAATATAGCATGAGACACACACTTCTGTTGCTGTCTTCTGCATATGATCCTGAAATAACATGATCTGGTCCCACATATAAATGTTAGATTGTGAATGCTTGTAAGATAAAAACTGCATTTGGTATTTGATTTCAAACTGAAAAAAAAAAAAAAAAAACTACTGAATGAGGTTCTGGTAACAATGGAAAATAGTACATACAACACATAAAACATGACATATCATAAAAATTGCCTTAATCAAACCCAAGTAATACTAAATAGTGGGCAAAATTTTGTGCTTTAAACTACAGTCCTTTGAAATGTAATTTTAACATCGAAGAGAATAAGCAATATATTAATTCACAGTTTACTGCCAATAAATTTTTGTGTGTGTCTCTGTATGAGTACTCTAAAATTTGATTACAAGCTAAGTCTGTTCTTTCTGCATATAAAACATTGAGGATCATTTATTAGTAGTACTAATATTAACTTACATGTTCCCAAAAAATGATCGAATATGCCATCCAGGTTTTTTCTTAATCAAGAGGATTAGCCCTCAAGCTAATTACAAAATAAAAATTACGGCCCCAGTGTAGGGGAACTTTTTTGTCGCCTGGGGACCAGCACACTGTTTCCTGCCTGGACCAGCAAGTGGCACCTAAGCAAGGAATCCTGCCCCAGGAATGCCACTCCAGTCTGGGGGAACTCTCTTCATTGCCTGGGGATCTGCCTGCAGTTTCCTGCCAGGACCAGCAAGTCTGGTAGGCACGGAATCCCGCCCCAGTCTAGGGGAACACTTTTTGTCACCTGGGGTCCAGGTATGATTTCCTGCAAGACCAGCAAGTGGAGCCTAGGCAAGGAATCCTGCCCCAGGAATCCTGCCCTGGTCTGGGGGAACTCTCTTCCTTGCCTGGGGATCTGTCTGCTGTTTCCTGCTGGAACCAGGGAGTTTTAAGCACAGAATCCCTCCCCAGTCTAAGGGAACTCTCCTTGTTACCTGGTGACCAGCATGTGGTTTCCTGCTGGGCCATGCCTGTCAGGCCTAGGCACTATCTGGGGGAACTCTCTCCCTCACTTGGAACAACATTTAAAGGTGGAAAAAATAGGAAAATGACAAAACCAAAGACCAAAATGTAACATCAAATATCCAGCCTATCCCAAGAAAGCCTAGGAACCACATGCATAGAAGAAAACACATGCCACATACCTGAAATACCTGAAATAATAGTAACTGAAATAAAGAAGCAACTCTGGGAAACCTTAAAGGAATTTAAACTAGAAATAATCTCTCAGGGAAAAGAAGAAATGATAAAAGAAATGAAGGAGATGCTAAACATATCAAAAGAAGACACAGTTAAAAAATTGGAGGACCTAAACAAAAAGATAGAATCCCTGAATGGACAATATAAGAAACAAACAGAATACATAAAGCAGATGCAAAGAGGTATACAGGAAATCAAAAACTCCATTGAAAGTTGTAAAAACTGCCTCAATGAATGTGAAGATAGAATCTCAGACCTCGAAGACAAGATTGCAGCTAGCGAACAGGAAAGGAAAGATCTTTCAAAAATAACAAGAAATCAGGAAATAACAATTCAACACCTGCAAGATGATGCAAAGTGGAAAAACATAAGGTTGACAGGGATAAATGAAAAATAAGGGGTCAACATAAAGGATGTCAAGAGGATATTTAGAGAAGTAATAGCTGAAAATTTCCCAAACATGAGATTAGAAACTGATATCAAGATCAATGAAGCATACAGAACTCCAAATAGCCATAACCAAAATAAATCTACACCCAGACATACAATAATGAACATCCCAGAAATTGAACAAAAGAATAGAATATTAAAAGCTGTCAGAGAGAAAAGACAGATCACCTATAAAGGAAAACCTATCAGAATCACAGCAGACTTCAAAGCACAAAAAATAAAGTCAAGAAGAGCATGGAGTGAAGTATTCCAGATCCTAAAGCAAAATGATTTCCAACCTAGGCTGATGTACCCTGAAAAACTGTCCATCAAAATCGATGGAGAAATAAGATACTTCCATGACAAAGAACAGCTGAAAAACTTCATGATCACCAAGCCAACACTGCAAAGAATACTGAAAGACACCCTAGATACATTTAGGAAAAAAATCACTAAACAAAGCAGACAAACAGAGCAGAAAGATAAAGATGCAACAGCAAAAAGATAACATGTCAACAACAAACCAATATATAACAGTCATAACCACTAATGTAAATGGTCTCAATGCACCAATTAAAAGAAACAGCCTGGCAAAAAGCATCAAGAAACACAATCCAACCATATGTTGTCTACAAGAAACCCATTTAACCCAAAAGGATACTCACAGACTAAAAGTCAAAGGATGGAAAACAATACTTCATGCAACAGGAACCCCCAAAAAAGCTATTCTGTTTGCAGATAACCTGAATTTCAAACCAATAATGATCAGCAGGGAAAAAGAAGGACACTACATACTCATTAGGGAAAAACTTCAAGAGGAAGAGATAACTATCTTAAACATATACGCACTGAACTCCAGAGCACCCTGTTACATAAAAAAAGTACTAACAGAAATGAAAAACCAAATTAATAGCAACACAGTTCTAACAGGAGGTCTTAACACAACATTGACACCAATGGACAGATCAACTACACAGAAAATCAACAAAGAAATAAAAGAACTGAATCACACCTGTGAACAAATGGACTTGATACACATATACAGAGTATATACAACAGAATATACATTCTTCTCAGCACTACATGGGTCCTTCTCTAAAACAGATCATATATTAATTCACATAACATATTTAAATAAATGCAAAGGGTCAAAATTATCCCTTGCATGCTATCAGATCATAGTACTATGAAATTAGAAATTAATGATAAAGATACTGCAAAAATCCCACAAACACATGGAAACTGAATAACACACTCTCGAATAATCAGTGGGTCATAAAAGAAATTAAAGAAAAAATTAAACAATACCTACAAACAAATGAAAACACGAATACAACTCATGGGAATCTGTGGGATGCAATGAAAGCTGTCCTCAGAGGAAAATTTATTGCACTGAGTTCCCACATTAGGAAAACAGAACAAATACAAATAAATAACCTGATGTTACAGCTCAAACATCTACAAAAAGAAGAGCAAGTCAAGCCCAAAGCCAAAGAAGAGAGGAAATTATAAAAATCAGAGCAGAAATCAATGCAATAGAGACCAAAAGAACAATCCAAAAAATCAACGAATCAAAGAGTTGATTCTTTGAAATAATAAATAAAATCGACAAACTCCTAGCAAACCTTATTAAAAAAAAAAGAGAAGAAAAAGCTCAAATTAATGCAATAAGGAGTGAAAGAGGCAAAATTACTACAGACCCTATAGAAATACAGAAGATCTTCAACACCTATTTCAAAAACCTCTACTCTCAAAGGCTTGATAACCCAGAGGAAATAGACAGATTCCTAGAAGCATACAAAATAACAAAGCTAGGTCATGAAGATGTAAAACTACTGAATAACCCAATTTCTATTAATGAAATTGAAAACGTAATTAAGTCATTACCTACAAAGAAAAGCCCAGACCCAAACGGATTCACTGCAGAATTGTACAAGAAATAAAAAGATGACATAATGCCAACACTCCTCAAACTCTTCAATGAAATTGAAAGGGAAGCAATCCTTCCTAAATCGTTCCTAAAAGCAAGTATTACTCTAGTACCAAAACCAGAGAAGGACCCAAATGAAAAAGAGAACTACAGACCAATCTCCCTAATGAACACAGATGCAAAAATCCTCAATAAAACATTGGCAAATAGGATGCAGCAAATCATGAAGAAGATCATACACCCTGACCAAGTGGGATTCATCCCAGGCATGCAGGGATGGTTCAACATACATAAATCAATAAATGTAATCCACCATAACAATAAAGCCAAAAGTAAGAATCACATGATCA